TTGGTGACCCCTGTTCTAAGGAACTGCTTAGCAAAACCCTCCACATCCTCCTGGGGATCTTCTAGCAGGAAGATCCTTCCTACTCACCAGAAGAAATTGAGCTGATTTTTCTCTTTTCCTCTGTAGGCCGCTATGGCCGCCGCCTGAACCTGTGGGACTGGACCACCCACTGCCTTGTCCAGTCTTTTGACCTGGGGGAGGATTCTTCCCCCTTTCAGATCCGCTTCCTGCACAACCCAGATGCCCCACATGGCTTTGTGAGCTGCGCCTTGGATGGTGCTTTGCATCATATTTTCAGGAAGGAGGTAAAAACAAGTAGAATTTCTTTCTCCTTTCCACCCCACCCCCCACCCCCCGCAAAGAAAGAACGGGCATCTAAGCCTTCAGCTTAGAATAAAGTACCGAATAAATGGATAAAATGCAGCTTTAAAACAACCCAATATTATCCAGGTAGACCTCGGCTAATGACCAAAATTGGCACCGGAACCTCCATTGCTAAGTGATGTGCCTATTAAGTGAGTCACACCTGATTTTTACAAGTGTTTTGCCATGGTCATTAAGTGAACCACTTGGTCATTAAGGAAATCCAACTTCCCCCATTGACTTTGTTTCTCCAAAGACCTCTGGGAAGGTCGTGCATGAGGATCATGTGCTTCTGGGACACTGCAAGTACCATGGATACATGCCTGTTGCCAAGTGCCAAATTTTGAGCACATGGGAACGTCACAGAGGTCATAATTCACTTTTTCCAGAACCATCATAAGTTCAGTTGATTAAGGAATGACTGTAAGCTGAGGGTTAACTCTAATTCACAAACTATTATCACAATGATACGGAAAACATTACAAAGAGGAACCTGAATGTAGAATTGCAAAGTCAGAACGCTACCCTGGGAGATTTTCGGATGGAGGGGATCACCTTAAGGGAGTCGGCCACCCTACCCCATTAGTTGATTTTCTTTTTATGACGGGGAAACGTTGTTAATCTTGTTACTGAGGAGAAAGGAGGCTGAAAGGGAATTTAGAGAGCCCCAAGGACCCCATAGAAGCTGAAAGAGCCAGAGGCTGGCAGCGATTGGAATTCAAAAACTACAGGGATATTTCAAACCTCTCTGTGAAAGGCTTCAGACTAAGAGGCAGATACAAGAGGAAGTGGAAGGGAAAATTTGTTCGGACGGGAGAGCTTTCCACGTCCCAACCAGCCTCGCGTGTCTCTTGCAGGACGGCTGTTGGGCCACAGAGAAAGTTGTCCAGATTCCAAATAAGTTGGTCAGCGGGTGGCACGAACCTGAAATGACAGGTGAGTAAATAAAGTTCAGGGGGGACTTTTGTCCTCACGCTTACGTCTCCATGCTCTCCCTTGTATGTGCTGGAGTTTGCGCCCTCGGATTTTTAGCATCTTGGGAGAACGGGCTGAGTGCCCTCAAGGCAGAGACATCTGCGCATTTGGGGGAGACACGGATTCCTGAAAATGCCATGGAATGAAGCGATCCTCCCTTTTTCCTGACCTTATTTCTGGGCACCTTCTCTTCTCCAGCGTTCATCACATGCATGGTCATTTCTCTGGATGACCGTTTCCTGTACCTGAGCAACTGGTTTCATGGCGATGTCCGACAGTACGACATCACCGACCCTCACTGCCCTCAGCTGAAGGGCCAGGTGAGCTCCCTTCCACCCCAAAGCCCCACAACCGTGAGGAAGCCTTGGGTCCTTCCAGAAGTTTCTTCTTCCACCATCGGAACCAGCACAAAGCTATCCCGGGCCTCATTTACTAGCATGTGCTAGTAGAACCTCCCTATTCAGAGGGGATCCACCTCCAAATACCGCAGTCTGGGAAGAGAAAAACCGCATCTTGGAAAAGGGGAGACTTTCCTTCAGCCTGAACTGACCCCCCCCCCTCCTTTGGGCCCTGCAGGTATTCGTAGGAGGCAGCATCTTCAAAGGCGGTGCGGTGACTGTGATTAAGGATGAAGAGCTGGACTGCCAACCGGATCCCTTCATGCTCCAGGTGAGCCTCTCTCTTTCCTCCGAAGGAGTCCAGGTTGGAGACACTGATGAGAAACGTGCGGGAGGCAGTTGCCAATAGACAAACATGGCTTCTTTCTTCTCGGTGGGACTCCTTGAAATGCCGCAAAAGACTTTGCTGAGGCAGACTAAAGCCAAGGAGCCGTAGGTGCCCCTTTATGGGCCTCCTCCATTTCTGGACCACTCCGTTTTTTTCTTTTTTCACCTTAGGGAAGGAGAGTCTACGGAGGACCCCAAATGCTCCAGCTGAGCTTGGATGGGAAAAGGCTTTATGTCACCAACAGTTTTTATACACCGTGGGACAAGCAATATTATCCGCAACTGGTCAGGTATGAAGTTTGTGGTCCGAATATTTATACCAAAATTTGCAAATTTGGGGAGGGTGCTCTCTGTATTACATGCACTCCTTACTTTCCATGATGGTTTCTCCCTTGATTCTGGAATTTCACAAATCTTTCTCATCGCTAGAGTTCCCCAATCAGCTTTTCTAACTTTATGGAGGCCCAAAGAAGCGAGCCAAAGACCCCCCTAATTTTTTTTCTTCCTTGGCAGGGAAGGGTCAGTCATGCTCCAGATTGATGTGGACACGGAGAACGGGGGTCTCTGTGTGAACCCGGACTTCCTGGTGGATTTCGGGAATGAGCCGTGGGGTCCCGCTCGTGCGCGTGAAATGCGTTACCCAGGAGGAGATTCTACTTCGGACATCTGGGTCTGAGATCTTCCTCCGAGCCCACCCCCTTGCCAAGCTAGCATTCAGGGGGCAGGGATGCAACCCCAAAAAGATAGCTGGTTTGTAACATAGTGCAGATTTCCGCATTTGAGGCCAATGCAAACAGAGAAATTATCATAATAAAACACTTTCCTGGCAATACAGATTCTGGAATATAATCTTCATTTCAAGTGAAATCACCAGTTGACCAAGTCTCTGTGTCTCTCGTGCAATTTATTTTGACCAACCCACTTTTCCCAGGGCTGAGAGAGATAGACCGGCTCAAAGTTGCTCACCTAAAACAGGATTAAAATTCATGGTCCCAACACCTTTAACCAGTACACCAAACGAGCTCTCCACCCATAAGTTAGGCCATAATTAAGGTTAGTCTCAGATTCACCATCACCATCATTAAGGCAAAATAATGGAATAAATCAATCAAAGAGTGGCCAAAATCTTTTCTTCCCATTTTCCCGAAACCGAATGATTGTTCATTCCACAGTTTGGGGAAACACTTCCTCTACGTTGGCCACCAACTTTTTTTTTGGGGGGGGGGGGGGATGGGACTGCATCCGAACACCAGACCATATCCTACTTTCCTGGGGACCAATATGGAATTGTAGACAAGCTGTTCATAAAGGCATGGCACACGTACACACACACACACACACACACACACACACACACACACACACGGCTCTAAGAGACGTCGCCTTCTCAATCTCGACGCCCCACATCTCATTCTGGGCTTCCTGGGAAGGGGTTGCAGGAGACCCCAAATATTGGGGGCATCTACCAGAAAATGGTCAGGAGGAAGGGAGGAATAACAAAATAAAACACCCAAAATATGTAACAACTGAAAGATGACCCTGGGCTGCTCCTGTTAAAGGGGGGAGCGATCCTAAAACTGAATCCACAGAAAATTCTCCGGAGAGAAAGATACCAAATTTTAAGTTTGGCCAGTGGGAATTTTGGTCCTTCCAATTCCTTGGCTGCTGAAACTCCAACTCTGGGATGCATTTAAAAGCCCGTGGAATCCTTCATCCTGACTGCAATGGACAACAGCCCTGGATGATGGGAGGTGTAGTCCCAACCTAAGCAGAGAAGAAAAACAGTCCCTTGGCTTTGGGTACCGTGCAGATGCTACTTTCTGCAAAAGCAGATGATCCACTCCGGAGGGGATCCACAACCAGCTTTAATTCTCCCTGGATCAGCCCAGTCTACCTGAAGCCCAAGAAGCTCCCCCCCCCCACCTCTCTCTCCCCGCCCTTCTTCCTACTTCGTTTCTAAACTGACAGAGTCGCGACCAATGGCCAACATGTTGCCAGGCAGACTTCCCAGCCCCTTCAACCAATCGGCGCCCGCGCCCAGCTTGCATCCGGGTGGAAAACCGAGAGGCAGCCATTTGCATTCGAGCACCGGCCAGTATCCAGGCAGAACTAAAACGGGCCGGCCAATCAGGGAAAAAGAACAGGCGAATCTGCCGCCCGCCCGAGAGCTACTTTCTTTTTCTCTTTTCTTTTGAGACCGAAAGTGGCGGAGATGCGTGGCGGGGCAGAAACGCGGCCGGGATTTGGGTCTCCGGATCCTTTTCGATCCGAAGTGGGGATCTGTTAACCCTTCGGAGGGTCCCAATCATATCCAGAGGCTTTTCTTTTCTTGAATGTTTTTTTTTCCCGGCATGCAAAATGTTCCTTTTCTTTTTTGCAATTTAATCGAGCCCGTCTAAAAGAAGAGCAAATCCTCACAGGCCGAAGAATTGCAGCCGGGGAAGGAAAGAGGTAAGTAGTGGATTCCATCCGGAAAGCGAGCTTACATTGCTGGGGTTTCTTGTTGTTGTTGTTGTTGTTTGGCAAAGCTTTGCATGGACCAAACTACAAACAAAAAAACCAAAAAACAGCAGCAGTTGTTCCTGGGAGAAACAAGAGGAGGAGGAAAGGAAGCTAAAAACAATAAAATGTGTCGAAATAACCACACTGGGCTGGGTTTTAAAGCAGCACGCAGCGAAGGAAGCCTTTTCTTAAAAAATACCAGGATTGCAAAACTCCTTGGCGGAAAGAAACAGCAATTTCCAGTTTCAAAAGCTGCAACTGGACTCTTTTTTATTATCCCCCTGGTTGCTGCAGCTTTTCTCTCTCTGGGAGAATCAAAAAATGCCTTTGAATTTCCCTCTTCCTGGAAGCCACCC